AACCATGCCAGTGCCGCTCACCCAGATGGGTGCAAATGAAGGAGGGTTAAAACCAAATAGAGGAAGTGAAGGAGGGAAAGAGGGAGGGGGGGTGGGAGTTCAGGATACTCCTAGTGGACTTGAGACAGCTACCCAGGAGCCAGAAGCAAACAAATCCTATTGAAAATCCAGACGACCTGGCGTTCCCCTATACTCATTTATAGTCTTAGCCAATTAAATCATCAAACACGAATGAATCAAGTGCCTAGAAGTCAAGCTTTATTCTAGGCAATGAACACACAAAGGCCTATGCAAAGTTTAAGGCACATCTGGAATTGATAATAATTATGATCGATCTGTATTAGAAATGCAGAAGCCACATACATAGCTATGATAAAGAACTATGAAACACCAAAGCAGGGATTTTCATCCCTTGAATTTAGAGAAGACACATGTGCAAAATCTACTTTACCTTGTATTTCATTTTGGAACATGAATGAATGTAGAAGCCCATGTAATAATAACTGAGTTGTGACGTTTCCTCGTGAAGTTGCTTAGTAAATGCAATTTCTCTGTCAAAAGGAAAAAAATACAAAAAAGGCACATTCAATTGTTTTCAATATTCAAACAACTCTCATTTCATGACAAATATTTCATGAAATCTGATCTCTCAATCCATGTCTTATAAGAAAAATAATTTTCAAAGCACTGTTACGATGAGTTTTACTAAAGAGTTAACAAATAAAATCCCTCTAAAACACTTTAAGCTCAAAGTTTTACCACGTTATTGGGCCAAACAGCTGATAAAAAAACTCAAATAGCATAAAATTAAAGGCATCAACAAAGGGGCTTCAAAAAGGCTTGTGGAAAAATGCAATGGAAAGAGAATGGAATTTTTGCATTAACTTTTTGAAACTCCCTTGAATTTAATACAGGCTCTCATTATTATTTATTTTGCCCTCGAGTTCTCAGTGAATCTAGACTTTCCTAGGTCAAATGTGCAAGCGCACACATACAAATAAGCTATGTGTGTTACAGAATAATTACTATCACAACCATATACATGCAAAATGCAGAGACTTTCAGTTGTGTAATATTTGTAACTCCTTCCTATACTAAACTGAAACTTTGATGATTTTTTACTCCGAAAGAGGGAAATGAACAAAAAAGAACTAAAGCAAGAATAATCATGTTATCTCATTTCCTTTCTTTTTCCTATACCAAGCCAAACACGGCCACTGAGCCGATTTCAATTCATAGCGGCCCTAACTGCCCGGAGGGTTTCTAAGCCTGTAACACTTTAGAGCAGCAGAAAGCCTCATCTTTCTCCCAAGGAGCAACTAGTGATTTTTAACTGCTGACCCGGTCAAGGGCAGCAGCCCAGTGAATAACCACTACAGCACCAGGGCTCCTCTTCCTTGACACAGGTGCAGGTAATTTGAACAAAAGTGAGCCGCATCTCCCCTGAGCACCAGTGCTTGGTTCACTTTGTATCCAGATCCATCCGGCCACAGACTTCATCCCACTAGCCCAGGTGACCGATTGGCTGTATTCAACAGTTTTAAGCAAAACGGAAGCACTCTTGTAAAGCATGCGGAAATCTGGCAGTGATTTTCTTTGCTTGTTTTGCTATTGTGTTTCTCTCTTGATGCCTTTCTTGAGGGAGGCCTGCTCCTCTCCCTCACTTTTGGTAGCAAAGGATGCTTGAGAACCAGGAGAAAGGTATTTATTTCTATTGCACATTCTGTGTATTTTGTGATTTCAAGTTTAAATCTTAGAAAGGATGCTACCCCCAAAATGCTTCTTTAAAATAAAAGTCTCTCTAAATACAAGGAGACAAAACAACATTAGGCTGTCATAGACTAAATGCTGCTCTTCCTAGAAGGGACCCACTTCCGAAATCCAAACTCAGGGAGGACCACTTACCTCCGACAGAAAGCTGGCCACACAGTGCTCCTGCCCCTATGGCAGTTCACCGTGTCTCGGATGCTCCGACCACACATGCTCGAATCTGTGCGTTAACCTTACTTCTTCCTTTTTCAAGTGAGGTATCTATCTGTTTTATAAGCCATTATTTTAGAAGGATATTTCTACTAAAACTACTTCTGTAAGTTGCTGTACTTTATTTTAAGGGAGGTATCCGTCTCTCCTCACACCCAATCCACCAGGAAGTCTGACTGGCTCCACTTCCAAAATCCACCATGAATAAGACTGCTGCCTACCACCTACCTCCACCTCGGAGAGGACTGGCTATCATAGGTTCCCAACTACATTTCCTCTGGCCACTCTTTCCCCTCCACCGTGCTCAGAGAAGGTGTCTAAGGGGTCTCTTCCAATGTTAACCAGATTGGCAATCTCCCCACAGTCCCCTCATTGGGTTGGCTAGAAAACCCAAGTTTCCAAGTCCTGCTCCTGCTGCCCCTTCCTTCTAGCCACTGACACCAGCTCCTTGGCCCAGCTTGGTAACGCTCTGCTTCCAGTGCTCTGACCCCTAAGACCAGCCTCCTGTCTATTCCCACATGCCAAGCAAGGTATACCCCCTTGGGGTTCTTGGATGTGCCACACCTCCACCTAGACTTCTACCCTCACATTCGTATTTACACCTTTCTTCTCCCCGGGTGTCATCTTTCCACAGAGGTCTTTCCTGGCGCTCCATTAAACCAGGCCCGTGCTTTCCCCGTGGCCACTTTACTTTTCCTAACAGCTCTGTGGTGCATCTAAAGTTATGTGGTGGGCTTTCTGATTTACTGTCTGCTTTGACAAAGCCACAAACACTGTCTTATCCGCATCAGTGCACAGAGTTCGTGCTCAACAAGTATTTGTTAAATGAATTACATTGCTAAAAATCCATTGGCTAAAACACCTATTTACAAGTCATGCTCCTGATCGCCAATTCAAAAGTTTTTGTAGGGTAGGTTACATAAAAATTCTAAAAATAGAAAACGCTATATTGATTAAAGGGCCATTTAAGAAACTGAGGGAAAATTCCCTAAATAGGTCCCCCCACCCAAAAAAAAAACCCCAAAATGTTAGAATCAAAACTGAAATTTACAGCTACAATTACCCTCCCCGACTCAGCTTCAAAGTGTCAGCCTGCCTCCTCTGTCTGCACACTGCACACACGGCCGCCTCTACCCTCAGCTCCCCGGAGAGGAGTGGTAGACTCCGAGGCAGGGCCCTCCTTCAGACTGGGCTGCCACCACTTTCCCTGCTGCCAGCTCCATCCTCAGCTCTCGGCGATCAGATCCGCCTAGATAAGCCACTCGACATAAGCACTCGTTTTTCATTTTGCGGGGACTGAATATGTACCGCCTCAGAAGTAGCAGGATTTCCAAACACCTCACAGCTTACTGAGCCAGGAAATAAAACTTCACACCTACGTAGGAAATAAAAAAAAGTCTAGGAAAATCTATAGCTGCACCTTGGAAAGTGAAAGATTTGGAGAGGCAAACAGGACTGTTGGATTTGGGTACAGAGAAGATGGATGGCCCTTTTCTGAAATAAGCATAAACTTCTAAAATGACATCATCTGAGCAAATAGAAACTTCTAAGGTTACAAAATGTGAGAGTCTTTCAATTCTCCGCTCCAATTTCAGTGAGCTCACCAACAGCCCGAATGCTTTTGAGTTGTTTTATACAAACAGTGAAATAAAGCACATCAGGAAAAGAAAAAACATTACAGAACGCTGTTAAAAACACTGCAGGATTGTGGGTTTATTCATTACAATGCAGTGTCCAGGGTCGGATGGGAAAGACCAAAAAACAACCCTTCTTTATATAGTGGCCAGTCACACATCCAAAATTAATCAACCGAAAAGAATCCCCCCCCAAATTGCTGATTGACCAGCTCTTCTACTTTCCTAATTTAAAAAAGGGCACACACACAGTAAGCAAAACAAATGATTTGTAAGTAGTTTATCCTCACTTGACGAATGTGGCCATCAGACACAAAGACCAGAAATGCAGAGGGGGAAATAGGGACGGACAGACACACGTGCGCGCCCCCGGCCTCCTTCCCTCCTCTCCAAACAGTCTAGTGGTACTACAGGACAGGGAACTGCCCCACAGGGTCCACAGGCCGTCATCTCTCTTTCCGGAAGCAGACAGCCTCTCTTCCTCCCATGAAGAGGCTGGTGGTTCAAACTGCCATCCTCTGGTAAGCACCTGAATGCTTTAACCACGTGTCAGCAGGGCGTCCTTAGAAATAAAGAGGGACCGATATTTTGGTGAAGACGTGAACCTTCTCACCACTAGGGCCATACGCCTACAAAGTTGTGTGATGCTGCCTGGCTCTGTAGCCAGAGACCAAGGGAATCACAAGCTGTCGGACAGCCAGGGGCCTCCGGCCCTGCCCTCCACACTGCCAGCACGCTCTACTTCTTCAGAGACTCCAGAACACGGCTCTGATTCATGGACACCAGTGTTCCCAAAAGTGGGCCATGCCATGTCTGCGGGGGCGGGGTTGGCACAATCTGAGGACTGCAAACACAGATACTCACACTGTCTTTTGGGCCATAAAATAAACTGCTAAATGTGTGTGTGTGTGTGTGTGTGTGTGTGTGTGTGTGCGCGCGCGCGCGTGTGTGCGCCGGGTTCCCCCTGAAAAAGGGATGGGAGGGAAACTCCGTTTGGAAACCTATGATTTCCACTTATGTTCGATTCACTCCAGTTTTAATCCAGACACTGGAGAGTCACAATCACAAAAGCGAATGTCAACAACGTGGAGAAACTGAAGTTCTGACACAGAAGCTTGTCCAAGAAGCACTCTTATAGCAGAAGTGCCCCGCAAATCCAGGGCTTCCCATGCCCTCACCGGAGGGGCCCCTTCGAGAGATGGAGCCTCCTCACGAAGTGGTGGCACCAGATGGGAAGGTGGCAGGTACTCCCAAATGTCGCCGTGGGAGGAAGGGACGACTCTCGACTGCACCACCACAGCGGGCGGAGTCCCACCACTGCGTCACGAGAGCGAGAACGGATCTGCATTCTAAGTGACCCCTCACCACCGCCAACTGCCACCTTACCTCAGTGCAGAGTAGACACCCAGAGACAGAAAGGAGTAATCGGGGTCGTAGTACAGGTACACGGACGACACGCAGGACGGGAGGATGTCAATCACCCCCACGGCAATGATCTTCCCGTCAAGCCAGTACTGCTGGTGGAAGGAGCCGTAGCCACACTCAGGTCCGTCTGGGGGCTTCTCAACCTGTAGAAGGTGGACACACAGACACCAACGGGCTGGCGTGACTCTTTACATACAAAATCCCTCAAATATTCATCTATTTTCGCCGGGTGAGGAGGCCCTAAAATTCCCTTTGTTGCCATCACCTTCCCTGGTCAATATCTGTTCAGGCTACAAAAAGTTCTCTTCAACCCAGCAAAAGGAAAAGAGGAATCCATTTCCTTTTTCCATCTCAGAAAAGTCTTTTATAGGGCAGTAAAGAACAATTAAATGGTATTTTTCTGTCCTCGACAGAGGCTAGGGAGGACATGGTGTGTGAAAGAAAGACGGAGCCCATGAAGGAAGGGCTGGGTGACAATTCAGAGCTGTCCCATTCTGGCCAGGCCAGGTCTGTAACTGTTCGAGCCTACACGACCAGGCCTTCGAATTGTTTCACTCACGGGCAAGGAAGTAAGATGGCAACAGATTCAAATGTATAAAAATGTGGGTGACCTCAAACACTACCCTGATGAGGAAAAACTCTAGGGAGACTCAGAAGATGTGTGGTGAGCCCACTGAGGAGCCTGACATGGGAGACTGAGGAAACAAGGCTCCTCGATCCATGTCTCTGTACCTCCCACCAAAGGACTGGGGGGGTCATGCAAAAAAAAAAAAAGTGGGTGAAACACGAATAGAGGGGATTGGCCAGTTGTGCCATTCTTCTGGATATAGGACGGCCGTCCAGAAGCAGGGAGAGAGAATCCTGGGGCCATCAGGAAAGGCCAGCCACCCGAGGAGCATGTGCAATGTCCCTGCACAGCGCTCAGGAGGCACAGCTGCAGGCAGCCGCCCTGGCCCACAGAGAGGGCAAAGGCCAAGGGACTGCTTGACAAGAAGCTGAAGCTGAGGGCACAGACTCAGCTGCTGGCTGAGGGGAGGCGCTACCGTGGAGCAATAATTTTAACCTGAATGCTTTCTGATCCTGACGTGTAACTTGGCCCAGGAAGTCCCCGCAGCTGTGAGTAGTGTAAGTTCTGTGGCTATGGTAAAGGATTACTGAACCCAGGAAAAAACTGTGTGCCAGTTGGAAAAAGTGGAGGCAGTTGTGAGAAGAGCAGGGCATGGAAGTACGTCTGACCTCTGCCTTGGGCGAGTGTGGTGCTGGCGTCTCCTTCACCCTACTGAAGCTAGAGGGGCAGAGATGGGCTAGCTTCAGAGAAAACAACTTCTGAAGGCTCCTCTCTGAGGGTCCCCCACCTTTCCTGGGTTTTACCTCCAGGACCCCTACTAGGTGTACATGGTGATATTAAAAACAAAACCTCCCCTCATGCTTCTGATAGGTGAAGGGTCACGAGGAGCAGGACCCAAGGGTGCTACAGAGCCCCTGGACTCTAAGCCCAGGCGTAGAAACCATCTCCAGGAGCCCGTACTGCCATCAACGACGGGACACACCAAGGCCTGCAAACACCAGGAGCTCCTCTGCCCACAGGAAGTGGAGGGCAGCTCCTCCATCTCCAAGCGTAGGCAGCACGCCATGACCTCTTTTCAGAGGGCAGTCTGAGTGGGGGCAGATATACCGTGGTCAAACCAGGTGGTCAAGGCCAATAGCAAGCGGCAAGGTACCCGAGATGGTGATCGCTCCTAAAACTGCCACTGTGGATGTTAGGTAATAAATACAACTCTAAAAGGGCTTACACAAGCTAAAAAAAACCAAATTGTCCAAAACCCATTTGAGCAGTCACTGTCACACAGAGCACTGGTCTCGCACAGGTCTCTCTCACCCTGGAGTCAGACTGAGGAAGTGTGCAGGCGACACACAGAAGCATCAACCGAAGGCTGGGGGAAGGGCAGCAGCCTATCTTACAACTTGTGACTTGCCACCAGTCCTTTAAACTGCCAATGGGATTCAAGGCTAATCGCCTGCGCAGGAAGTGAGACTGCTCCAACTGTGTAGTAAGAAGTTAACAGATCTGTGTACGTGTGACCGAATTTATGAAACCACCTTTGAAAGGTGGGCCCTGAGGCTCAGGAGAACGAAGCACTGCTTCGTTAAAAATAAGCATGGGGGAAAGCAAGCAGTACTCGGGCGGTGTGGAGACGAGACGGGAGCCTGTCAAACAGCAGGACACCTCCAAGTCCAAAGCTAATTAGGTGACTTTGAAATGACTCTGAACTCTCCCAGGATTCCACCTTGGTGTGTCATGCCAGCACTCAGGAAATCAGGTGTGGGTATTCCTTCACTGATTTGAAAACATGTTTACCAAGGACACAGATCATCAAGTAAGAAGTCATCAGGGCACTCTGGGTGAAAACCATCCCAGGCTGTGATGTCGTTTTCGTTAGGGTTTTGTTTTACTTCTCACTGTGAACTGGTTGAAGGTGCACAGAGCAGATCAACAGTGTATGTGCAACAATTCATATGCACGTTGTTTTAACTGCAACCCCATCAGCGTACTTACTGTTTCTGTTCCTCCTCCTTTCCTAACCTACTGAACTATGTCCTGGGATAAATGCTACCCTTGGGATCCTACATGGTTGCTTATTCTAACATGGGGGTGTGCTCAGTTCCAGATCCGGAGGGTGGCCAAGGGCCATAATCTCAGAGTACCACCTCCTCTACCCCATCAGTAAGCCCGGTCTATGACTTGGACTTCCGTTCCACCTTTTTCTCCCACTCTGTTCAGGAGCTTCTAAAGGAACCCTCTTCAGAGCCATTGGTAGTAGGAGCAGGCACCCACCATCGAGTTGTTCTGGTCCCGGGGCGATGGAGACTGGTGTGTGCATGGCCCACCAGACCACTGGGCTAGCTGCTTCCACGACAGTCTTTCAACTGTCATTACTCTTCTTTCGGGAGGCATCAAAAACATGCGTCTTAGATGGCTGGCTCACTTGTTTCCATGACCCCCGTCACTACTCACCAAATTCAGATGCAGAACCTTGTCTTGGTGAACGACTACATTAGTATCTCCAAGACGGCAGTCCTGAGCTCCTGAGCCCAGTGAGTCAGTCAAGGATGTGGTCTGGGTTTGTTTTTACCTTTTCTTCAGAAGAGAAATTTCATTGTGAGCTAAGTGAGGGCTTACCGAGCAGATCATTTAATGTGTTCAACAGCTTACCAAACCTCCCAGTGTTTACCCTGCTTCTCTGGGGGGTTTCTGCCCATTGAGGTGTACTTTCAAATGGCAATTATCTGCTCTGAATACCGTGTTCATCCTTCCTTCTCGTGCCCCCGCCCTCTCGCCAAAGACCCTGGTTCCAGGTCCATCACTGGCCGGTTCCAGCGAATCTGCCCCAAGACTGGCATTACTCCTGGCACTTAGGTCCTGTGAAAGCCCGGCCGGCCTTCCCATTCAAAGCTGTCTACAAAGACTGGGCTGCTTTACACCGCAGGAGGGAGGAGTACGCTGTTATCAATGATCTAGTGGCGCCCCAGCCCCCAACATTTCACAAGAGAAGTCATGGGAGTCCAGGGGGCTGAAGTAGTGCAAAGATTACAGAACCAGCATGGTACAGATGGACTCACCAACTGACCTCCTCGTCCCTGGGTCACCTGTATTTTTAGGAGGTTATGTGGACAGTAACTCATCAAACATCATTCCAATAAACTCCCTTTTCAAAGATCCCGAGTACACCCAGGGCAGGAAATTGAGCAACAACATTAAACGCAACGTCTCAGTGCTCTTTCTCCCCCCCCTTGAATCTAGCTTGCTATACTCCCTCTTTCCGTCCTATCTTGTTGGCGATTAAGATGGGAGGGGGCCTCAAAAGGCTCGTGGGAACATGGAAATGAGATAATGGAGTCTCCTACAAAATTCTCTGCAGCCCACTCACACTCTCTGAGGAAGGACTCCCTCCTCTTCTCCCTCTCAGGCCCCTGGCTGACCCCACAATAGAAGAGGCTCCCAGGAAAGGCAGATAAGAAGCCATTTCTCTCAATGCACATCTGGTCATTGTGGGTGAATTTGGATCTGCTGTTCTCAGTTGAGGGAGCCCTGGTGGTGCTGCGGGTCAGGTACTGGGCTGCTAACCGCCAGTGGTGGCGGTTCATACCCACCAGCCACTCCATGGGAAAAAAGCTGAGGTTGTCTGCTCCCACAAAGAGCTAGTCATGGAAATCCTATATAGAGATACTATGAATTGGAATCAAATCAATGACAGTGGATTTGGTTCTCAATTTGGTAAGTCAGTTGATACATTAAAGGTCTCCCAAGTGGTAGGTAGTAGGTATTGAGAACGCCGGAGTTCCTATGTCACTCATCTCTGGCTCCCAAACTCCAAAAACAAGAGTGCCTATCAGGTTTACGGGAGTAGAAAGCCTCCTCTTTCTCCTGTGGAGCAGCCTGTGGGTTCAAACTGCTGACCTTGAGGGCAGAAACCCACCATGCCACCATGGCTCTTTGGAGCCCCCATGGAGCCCCCAACCCCCAATACACTCATGAGAGAATGCCGGGAAAAGAGGCCAATAAATCTCATGTTACATCTGGAGAAGCCTCTGCCAGGGCCTTGGGAACCCTGAGGGTTGAAGCACCACACTTGAGATCCGTTGATATACATCACTTTTTAAAATAAGTAGAGGACGAGCCAAATAGCCTGGCAGTGCCATGGTCAAGCACCCAGATGCCCAAAGGCTCAGTGGTTCAAACCCACCAGCCACTCCAAAGGAGAAAGATGTTATCAGTCTGCTTCCATAAAGACTTACAGGCTAGGAAGCCCGATGGGGCAGTTCTACTCGGTCCTCTAGGGCCGATGTGGGCAGGAACAACTGCAGCGAGGGCAGCAAGAAGGGAGCCATAGACTGCACAATGTGGGCAGAATGGGGTTGGGGGGGGTGGTAGCTGGTGGACTGCTTCCCGAGTCCTGACTCCTCTGTCCACTCTGGCTCTTTCATCTTCACAAGGCGGTAATTTAGCATCTTTTAAAAGTACCACTTTCTGCCTCTCAGAAGCAGGAATCAGCCCCATTGCTCAGGCTCAGTGGTCACTGTGAAAAACCAATGGCAGAGTCCAAATAGGGGCGTCTCTGCTGGTGGTGGGCAACACTGGGCC